TTTTTTGCATCCAGTCCAGCTATGGGCTTATTTTTAGCGTTCCCTTCTGCCAGCAGCCCTGTGGGACCCCTTCCCCACTCGCAGGTCACGCTGGTCCCAACGGCCGCGGACTCTGTGGGGCGCAGATTTCGCCCCGCGCGTGCGGTCCTCTCTCCAACCTGAATTGCAAACCGCACCTTTAGGGGAAGTCTAACCTTTCTGTGAGAAGAAGCAGTGCTCGTCTGAGTTCATGCAGTCGTGCTGCTTGAGATCCCTTGTTTCCAGGTTAGTAGCTGATCTCTGGATGCCGGTAACAGCTACTCAAGATGGCGCGGTCTCCCCGGCTGAGCCGGTGCACCGGGAGAAATTTCAGCCGCAGTCTCCAACCGTCCCCTTTTTCCGGGAGTTCTCTGTCTTTCCCAGCTGCAGACTGTCTCTGAACTGAATATTCTCTGCCTATTCGGGCTGTATGTTACCCGACTCAGCTGCTCACCCTTATCTGCTCCAGGACAAGGCACAGGACACGTCCGTCTATACCTCTGCCATTTTCTATCCTTTTCGTAATTTTTATCTCTTAACTATAGGCCTGGCACATGAAATTTGTGCATGGGTACGGTCCCTAGGCCTGGCCTGCATTCAGGGCCATCTTCCCTGGCTGCCTGCAGCTGGCCCCTCCCCGCCGCCACCCACCCTGGTTCTCGGTTCACCATTGGGCGATTGGAGCCTGACGGCTGGGGGAAGGGACCAAGAGGTTGGCTGTTCCCACCCACTCGTGGCCCTCCCCCCCACTGCAGGTTGCCCTCTGTGTGGGGGGAAACTGGTGGGGATGGAGGCCTTGGCCTGGTGCCACCCATGTCCCCCACCACCCACCCCTGATTCCCCATTTGCCATTGGACGATCAGAGCCTGCTGGCTAGAGAAAGAGACCAAGAGCTGGTCAGTGCACCTCGTAGTGACTGGTCGAGTCTTTGTTCTGGTCATTCTGCTGTTAGGGTCAATTTGCATATTACCCTTTTATTATATAGGATAAAGGCCCAGTGCCCAGGTGGGGGCTGGCTGGCCTGCCCTGATGGGGGCCCCCGATCAGGATGGTGGTCCCCACTGTGGGGCCGGGCTGGCTGGGGCGAGGGGCTGCGGGGAGGAGTGCAGGCTGGCTATTTCCTGATCTGGGTAGGGATCCTCGCTGGGGGGTGGGGCCAGCCGGGGCGAGGGGCTGCAGGTGGTTTGCAGGCCGACCATGCCCCTATTGGGATGGGGGTCCCACTGGGGGGCGGGGCAGGCTGGGGCGAGGTGCTGCAGTCGTTCTGGTTTCTGTTTCTTCTGGTAATTCTGCCGTTTTGGTTGCTGGGCTTATATTATATAGGATATTCTAGTTATTCCTTCAGGAGCTGCACTAAAACATACTTTGATATTGCTTATTTCCTAACTAACTTTTTATTTAGAGGTAACACATTGTTTGCAGGTAGTTTTTATCGCGCGCTAACAGGTGGTGCGGGCCATTTTTGCTATTTTTTTTGCGCAAATGGCAACGTTCAGTAAAATTACGATAACTTTAGTTTACGTATTTATACGTTATCCGAATTCTACCGCTAGTCTATAAAAACGTATTAATACGTGTCCCGTGCTCTACTACCAGTCAACGTAAAACGTATAAGTAAAACGTATAAATACATTTCCTGCATACAATGTGGTAAGAAAGTAAGGCAAGAATAACTGGAATTAAATTTACATTTAAAAATATTCCAGGTGTTTTAATATGATAGGAGAAAACAGTCTGGGTTTACAGGAAGCTATTTTTTTTTTTTTGGTCTTCTGTAAGGAATGAAGTACTCTTCAGTACATTTAAACATTGTAAGCTTTAAAAAAATAACTTTATATTTCTCTGTTTCATTCCTGACTGTTTAAGTCATATTGGTTAACAAAAATAGTGCTGGTAACTCTTTAGAAGTTAAAAATGTTTTTTACAGAAACGTGCTATTTAAAAATTAGAGGCCGTCTTCCAAATTGTTCCTGAGACAGTTATTAAATCTCCTAGATCTGCTTTTTAGATGCATTAAATATCTCTAAAATATGATTGCATTTAGTAAAGTAGGAACATGGTAAATAAAGTCTGTTTATGGGAGAGAAGCAGTATTTGTGTGTGTGTGTGTGTGTGTGTGTGTGTGTGTGTAAAAGCATGTGTGTTTCTTGCTGTGGAGACTACTGTTAGACCTTGAGAGTGGAGTAGAAGGTTGGAATGCCGTTTGATCTGCCCTTTTCTTTGATGTGCTGCTCAGTTGCCCTCTCAGTGGCATGCAGAGTGCTTGCCTGCACCTCTAGAGTGAAGCACATCTAGTGAGTGAGAGTCTGAGACCTAGTTCCTGGAGGAGAAGGTGGAGTCTTTCCCCCCATAACTGTTTGTAGAGGGATTTTATATAAAGTAAAGGAAGCAGTTCAAATAAAACAATTGGAGGAGGAGAGGGTGGCTTAATTTAAAAAATATATACAGTTGTTAGTTTTTCAAGTGTAAGATTACAGGAGATCACAGAACCATTTAGTCTGAATGTTGTTTTTGGAGATTAACTGTGATTTATTGAATACACAAGTAAATATTAGCTGATGGTTGTACTGTACAGTAAGTAAGGTTAAAGAAAAATCTTTTAAATGATACAGTAATCTTTGTATTACTATTTAATATAAAGTAGTTGGTATTTTTATGTGTCTCAAGTGTACACATAAGGTTTTATCAGATGGTGTGAAATCCTTAACAGCCAAGCCCTCTTCTCCGTAGCCAGTCATTGAAAGGCTCTTCACCAGAACCAGCAGCACCAGGGTTACAGCTTGTGGCTTAATGGATGGCTAGGATTTTTCAGTTTGAGGTAAAAGTTAAACTAAGAAGCCTACTTTAAATCATGCATATAAAGTTAAGGAATGAATACAAATGTTACTTACAGTATATCTCCTTTTTCATAAATGAATTTAAATTCTTGTAGTTGCAAAATGCAATTTTTTCTTAGTGTCAGAAAAGTCCACATTTGAATTAGTTTCAAACATATTCAGATTGTAGAAAATCCTTTTGAAAATGAGCTTCATTCAGTGTGAAGAGGTGATAGGGTAGAGGATAAGTGGAGAATGGGGTGAAATTGCTTGCAAGCATGTTAGAAAATTATAAAATACTAGAGGCCAGGTGCATGAAATTCCTGCACTCAGGGGCGGGAGGACGTTCCTCAGCTCAGCCTGCCCCCTCTCATAGTCTGGGAGCCCTCAGGGGATGTCCAACTGATGGCTTAGGCAGTTGGACATCCTTAGCGCTGCTGTGGCGGCAGGAGAGGCTCCCGCCACCGCCACTGCACTCACCAGCTGTGAGCCCAGCTCAAGGCTTCTGGCTGAGCGGCGCTCCCCCTGTGGGAGCGCACTGACCACCAGGGGGCAGCTCCTGCATTGAGCGTCTGCCCCCAGGTGGTCAGTGCGCATCATAGCGCCCGGTTGTTCTGCTGTTTGGTTGATTTGCATATTAGCCTTTTATTATATAAGATCTTTTATTTCTAGAAGTTCCGCTTTGCTCTTTTTAAAAATTTTATATATATTTTTACATCAGAGAGAAAGGTAGAAGGAAAGAGATATAGAAGCATCATTGATGAGAGAGAATCAGTGATTGGCTGCAATGCCCCCCACTGGGGATCAAACCAGCAACCCAGGCATATTCCTTTGACTGGAATCGAACCCGAGACCCTTCAGTCCATGGGCTGACGCTCTATCCACTGAGCCAAACCAGCTAGGGTACACTTTACTCTTTTCTATTTATCTCCTTATTATGTTCATGCTTTCCTTTAAGTGCCTCAACATTTTTATAATAGCTGTCTAAAATTCTTGTCTGCTTTCGATCATTATTTTTTTTAGTCTATATTTCCTCATTTTGATTCCCACTTTCCTCCTTCTTCCCAGTAATTGCTAAGTGTCTAAATTTTTTGTTCTTCTTTTAAAGAGCAGCTTTACTTGGAAGACAGTTAAATTGCCTGCAGATCAGATTTCAAGACTTGAATTTAAGCTCTGTTGGTATGTACTTATGGTGGTCTTTAATCTAGGGCTATTTAGCCTTAATATGAAGGCATGGCCTTTTGGGGTCTCTATTAACTGTACTGGATATTCAAAAAGGTCTCATTACTGTGTGGGGTCAGAACTCTACCATTTCTCAATTCTTTGTTAGTGCTGGTACTTGTTTAGCCTATAGCTTCCTAGTAGTTTGTTCTGTTCTCAGTAATTGTTCTTTGACCAACCACTTGAAATCTCATTCTAAGTATGCAGGGCACAGTATTCAGCTAGAGACTCAATGAGACCCCATGCAGATGTTTGGGGCTCTTTATCTGGGCAATGCCCTTCTCTCTGATACACTGGCCCACAAAGTCCAGCCACTGCAGCCTCCCTGATCCCCGATCTGTTTCCCCAACTCAGTGAGACCACCAGGCTTTGTTTAGAATCCCCTTCCACGTACTATGTATGATCCAGAAAGTTTCTCCAGGCAGAAAATCAGGGACATACATATTAGGGCTCTCTCCCTTTGTTTTCCTTCTCTCAGTGATCAAAATTCTGCATTGCCAGTTGTCCAATGTTTGCAAACAGATGTTTCATAGACTTTGTCCAGTTCTTTCTTTATTTACAATGAAGAAAGGCAGCCAGGACCCGGGCTTCCCTTGCAGCCCCAGCTTCGTCCAGAAGAATGTCCAGTCTAATTATCATATTATGCTTTTATTATTATAGATGTGATCTAAATGGGTTCAAACAATTAGTTCAGAAAAACCAGAACTAGAAGCCACTGCCCCAAATGCTGGCAAATGGGAAGATTACTCATGTAAAATTGGACATGCCCTAAGCAGAGATATGGTATGAGTAGCTTCATGCTAGGGATTTATTGATCAAGGTTATGCTAACTGATGGCATAGTATTTCATATTAACCATAATAAATTATATATCCCAGCCATTCCTGCCATGCCATGCCTCCCAGCTTGCGGTCCAGTGTGTGTTGACTCTGGCAGGACATGCACACTGAGATAGTGTGTGGTACTAGATTTACTTTTCATATGGTTGAAGGGGTTAGCTAGTTGCCTTGGTGATCAGCAGAGGTTCAGAAATATAGACAATATGACAATGGTGCCACCCATGGATATATTTTATTGTGGAAGAGGGTACTTCACATTGCTTGGTATTTCTAAGTTGAGGTACAAGTCTGTTATGCTTTGAATTATATGTAAAGCTGTATTGGTCTCACTTTCATCCTGAATATATTATTAAGAATTTGAGGAAGATGCTACTTTGCTCTTCAGACCTTAGGGCAACTGCAGAAATAGTATAGAAGAGAGTGTTTGCTTTTTAGATCTAGTCAGAGAGAGTTTGCCATACAGGAAGAGGGCTAGATACTTCTAACTGTGAATTAAAGGTCTATATGAACTTGTCAGCTTACTGGTATACATGGTTTATTTTAGGGCCAGATGCTCATAAACAGCTTGCATGCTAATTATGAAAGATGCCCTGTGGGAGATAGTGTAGGGCAGTGGTCGGCAACCTCATTAGTCAACAGAGCCAAATATCAACAGTACAACGATTGAAATTTCTTTTGAGAGCCAAATTTTTTAAACTTAAACTATATAGGTAGGTACATTGTTATTAACTTAATTAAGTGTGGATGGGAGAGTTGGAAGGGGTCAACCTCAGCGAATGTACCTCAAAACAATGTACCTCCCCCACGCTGCGTATCCCGCGGCCCGCCTGCGCCATGTCTCTTGTCGCCCGACCAACCAACACCCCCCACCTCTTCTAACGCCACTTCTTCAAAATAGACTCGCCCAGGCCGAAAACCGACTTCTGCGCATGGGCCACGAAGTTTCAATCGCACTGTATGTGCGCGCCTGCACATGGTATTTTGTGGAAGAGCCACACTCAAGGGGCCAAAGAGCCACATGTGGCTTGTGAGCCACGGTTTGCCGACCACTGGTGTAGGGTAATGCATAAGGGGTTGGGGTTTTAGAATCCAGTAGTCTGAATCTAAATCTCATCTCTGCTCTGGCTGCTGTAGCACAGTTGGTTGGAGCATGGTCCAGTACACCCAAAGGTTTGCAGGTTAAATTTTTGATCAGAGCATATACCTAGGTTTTGGGTTCAGGCATGTGGGCACGGGAGGCAACCAATCCATGTTTCTCTCTTTCTTCCTCTCCCTTCCTCTCTAAAATCAATAAAAAGTCCTCAGTGAGAAAAAAACAACACATTCCATCTCTAATTTGCTGATTATTCTTGGAGTAATTTACTTATCTCTCTGAGTTATAGTTTCTTTCTAATGGTGATTGCCTTCTAGAGTTGATTTGAGGGTTAAATGTGACAATTCCAGTAAAAAGCTTAGTACAGGGTCTGCAAACAGAAATTGTTCAATAAATGCTGCTAACTATTGTTATTATTTTAAACAGTGAACTTCTAATTAGCATTTTTCTAAAGTGAAACCAAGAATATATGGAATTAATTCTTGTGTTTTGGTTGATGATGGGGAAAAAAAGTGTAGGCTGACCAACAAATTCTGGAAAATAGGTTGGCTCTCCATATCTCTGGGTTTCACATCTTTGGATTCAACCAGCTGCAGGTTGAAGGTAATATTTTCCATCCACAGTTGGGAATCCATAGATGTGGAGGGCAACTGTATGCATTATTCTGCATCATCCTATATAATAAAGAGGTAATATGCAAATTGACCCTCAAACCCTCACAAGATGGCTGCATACGACCAGGCTGGCAGGGGGTTAGTGAGGGACGACCAAACGACTGAACAGCAGGCTGCGTGGGGTGACCAGGCTGGCAGGGGGGTTAGTGAGGGATGACCAAACGACTGAACAAGCAGGCTGCATGGGGCAACAAGGCCGGCAGCGGGGGCAGTTGGGGGTGACCGGGCCAGCAGAGGGGGCCAGTTGGGGGCGATCAGGCCAGCACACAGAGGCAGTAAGGGGCTATCAGGCTGGCAGGAGGGGCAATTAGGGGCGACTAGGCAGGCAGGCAGGTGAGCGATTAGGAGCCAGTGGACCAGGATTGTGAGAGGGTTGTCCGACTGCCAGTTTAGGCCCTATCCCCAGAATCTGGCCTAAACCAGCAGTTGGACATCCTCCAAGGGGTCCCGGACTAGAGAGGGTGCAGGCTGGGCTGAGGGGACCCCCCACTCCGTGCACAAATTTCATGCACTGGGACTCTAGTTTTATATAAGGGACTCTAGCATTCATATGTTTGGTATTTGGGGGTTCCACAAACCAATCCCCTGTGGATACCAAAGGTCATTTGGGGGAGTCAAAAGTTACATATGGAGTTTTGACTGCATGGTGATTGGTGCTCCAATCCCCATGTTGTTCAAGGGTCAGCTGTGATTGCATCTTAATTATTACCCTTGCCTCGTTTTTCTCATACTAATCTGTGTTGAGTCCAGTGGCTCTTACCCAAAGGTAATATTGTCCTCCATCAGATATGTGATAATGTCTAGAAACATTTTGATTGTCATGAATGGTGGGTACCTCTGGCATCCAATAGGTGGAGACCAGGGAACCTGCTAAAACATCCTACAGTGATAGAATGCCCCTCACAAGAAATAATTATCTGGCCCTGATATCAGTAGAGCCGAGGTTGAGAAACTGTTCTAGTCTGATGGCACAGTTCTAATTTCACTGCCCTGCTTAGAAGCTTCCAGTGCTTCCCCTATTTCCAAATGTATTTATCCTGTTTATCCTTATTTCCCAATTTTCGCTCTATATCAGCAATTTTTAGCCTTTTTCATCTCCTGGCACACATAAACTAATTACTAAAATTCTGCAGCCTACCAAAAAATATGTTTTTTGCTGATCTGAAAAAAAAGGCATAACTTTGATTCATTCACACTAGATGGCTCTTGTTGTGTTGGCTGTTGTCACATTTTTATTTGACAGTCTAAGGGAAAAGAGGTCAGTGCCTCTGATTAAATAGTCAGGTACTGCATGTTTTAAAAATTCTGCAGCATACCAGTTGAAATTGCTGCACTGTATAGGTACTGGTCTCCTCACTGTCCAGTCAAAATATGCTTTCACTATCTTTTTTTTTTTTTTTTTTTTTTTTTTAGTAATTCTCACCCAATTATATTTTTCCATTGATTTTTAGAGAGAGTGGTGGAAGGGAGGGGGGTGAGGGGAAAGAGAGAGAAAAATATCGATGTGAGAGAGACACTTTGATTGGTTGCCTCCTGCACAAGTTCTGACCAGTGCTGAGGATCAAACCTGCAACTCAGGTACTTGCTCATGATCGGAAATCAAACCTGAGACCCTTTGGTGGGTGGACCAATGCTGTAACCACTGAGCAACAAAGGCCAGGGCATAATGTCACCTTTTTAAAGTCCTATCTGTTTTTCCAGGTCCCTTCCACTGTCAAAATCCTACTTATCATTTCAAAGGCCTATATCTTGCCCATTCATAAAGTGGTTGTTGATGATACCAAAAATCCTTTTTTAAGAACTGGAATCTTTTAAAGGAAGTTCTATTTTAACATTTTCCCTCATTAGAGTCCCTACTTCTCCAATCCAAAAAACTGAATGTATAGTCATCATGTTGTACATTACATCCCTAACACTTATTTGTCTTACTAGAGGCCCGATGCACGAAATTCATAAAAGAGTAGGCCTTCCTTACCCCGGCTGCCAGCGCTGGCTCCCCTCTGGCACCCGGGACCCAGGCTTCTCTCTGGCTGCCAGCAGGCATCTGGGACCCAGGCTTCCCTCGAAGCCCTGGCTTTATCCAGAAGGTCGTCCGGAAGGATGTCCGGTCTAATTAGCATATTATGTTTTTATTATTTTAGACTAGAGGCCCAGTGCATGAAATTCGTGCATGGGGGGGGTGTCCCTCAGCCCGGCGTGCACCCTCTCCAATCTGGGACATCCCTCTCACAATCTGGGACCGCTGGCTCCTAACTGCTCACCTGCCTGCCTGCCAGATCACCTGTAACAGCCTCTGCTTGCCTGCCTGATCGCTCCTAACCATCTCTGCCTGCCGGCCTGATCACCCCCAAC